ATCTTCATGAGGAATTTGACGATGAGAGCTTTTCCTGCTTGTTGGCGTATGGGAAGTATCTGTCATTTGGAGATTTTGATATTTGGCACACTGATAGAGTATTCTAAACTAGCTGTGGCTTCTACTTGCTTCCACTTCTAACTGTCTAAATGCTGAATCACTTTCTTCAACCATCCCATAAACATGTATATTCAGTATATATGACAGGTATCTTTACTGGCCCTTTCGCCATGATCTGTTCGCTCTCCCAAGTTATCACACCAGGTGTCCAGTCTCACCATTACACCAATAGTATGCTCTTCCCGACATATCTTGAAACGTAGATGACCAAACTGAAACATTCATCTTTTACACTCAAAACATCTAGTAATCCGAGGAAAATCTTGACTTGATTCATTTAGGGCTTTGGGTTACATCAAAGACGGGAAGTTAAATAGTATGGTTCAGCTAATTAATATTGTTTTGGGATCAAGTCCTTATGGAATGAAGGATTATCATTGTTGAGGCAGTCATGGGTGATAAAGCAGATCTTGAAGATGATTCGAGAGTAGATTGGAAGCCAGTGCAAGGTTTTGAGATCAGGAGTGATGACTAGAACTTTGCTGATGTTATCAAAGCAATGAAAACATGCTGTGCGAGGGTACGTAGCCTAACTATATTCCCGATGTCCAATGTTTGATGATCTTCCATTTTATTTTGAAGGAATCGTTAGCAAAGCCATATCCAAAATTTCACATGTGTGGGTAATGTGGTTAACCAGATATGTGTCATCACAACAAATTGGGGTACAAAATTGCAGAAAATGAAAAACGATTTGTCTTTTGGTACCTCTTGATTATGTCATATAAAATATGTTCAGTATAGTATTGGATGACTTCCCGTCATGATCAACAGTCAAAGATTTGGATTGTCTGATTTATATTTAGTCGGGGGCTATTTTTTAAGGACACCCCATTTTAATCTTTCAAAACCATTGTGTCGATATTTAAACTGGTACTGTTTACAATATATTATTGGGGATCGTGAGACTGGAATAAAGCAAAAGAATTGCTTGAGCTTGACAGATAATATGTAGCAAAAATAAAACAGAACAATGACTGCATCTGTGTCGTTTTCTTGGTGATTCTACATACTTTCTGATCGCCCCTCGTATGAGTGAGATGTGAGTGTTCATAGTCATTGCTAAATCAAAAGTGACTGCAAGATTACGAGCGCTGGCAGTTGGAGGAACAGTAAGTTCACCAGTCCGATGATAAATGGACCCACGATTAAGTTTTCAGAGCTGTTGCCTGGACCTGAGCATCAAAAACTCTGTCTTCTCATCATTCAGTTTGAGGTAATTCAGACTCATCCAGTGCCGTATGTCATCAATGCACTGAGTCTTGCGATGTTGACAGAGAGTTCTGAAGTTTTGAAGGATATGTACTGGTGATTATCATCAGCATAGAGGTAGAACTTCAAAGAATGTTTCTTGATAATATCTCCGATGTGCAGAATGTATAAAGTAAATAGAAGTGGTCCGAGAACAGAACCCTGAGAGGAACACCATATTGACTTTTGAATGTGATAGAAAGTTTATCTTGAACTTTAACGGACATGGTACAGTCAGAAAGATAAAACTTGATCGACTGAAGAGCTGTGCCACAAATGCCAAGGCGTTCTTTGAGTCTGTGTAGCAATCTGGTATGTCAATAGTGTCAAAAGCCGATGATAGATTGAGGAGCACAAGAAGCGTAGCTTTCTCTTGCCCCATGGATGTAATGACATCGCTGTGGACCTTCGCAAGTGTTTCAGTAAGATTAGTATGTTTTAAATGTTGCTCTCGCTATGAAGGTATTATCCTCTCAAGACACTAAGTCACAAATGAAAGATTAGACACAGGACGATAGTTATATGTGTTGTCTGGATCCAAACCCGTTTTTGGAGTAGTGGAGCGACAATGGCATGTTTACGTTCTCTTGCCGGGTGATATTGAAGTATTGATGATGTCCCAAACAGCAGCTGTTATATGATCCATAGAAGCCTTGAATAGGCAAGTAGGAACAGGGTCAAGGAATGAGAGCATTCTTGACAGTGTCATACACAGCATTCAAAGAGACATAATGAAATTTATGCATTTCCCCACCAAAAAATGTGTCCGCATCCAAGCAAAATCCTGATTCGTCAAGATCATTTGTCTTGTGTTCAAGAGTGTTCCTAAGTTTCAGTATTTTCTCATTGAAGAAACATCTAAATTCATTTGCCAATAGAACAGAATTATCTCTTTAAGGTAGTACTGTTCTTGTGGTTCCTTTCAACAGACGGTTTATAAATGAAAATAATCTATTCCTCTTAGTTTGCTTTATGTTGTCCAAAACGTATTTTGGCATTTCTAAGAGCAAAATTCACCTCATTGCGACGCTTGGAAAGCAGGCCAGATGTGTCTGTGTATTAGAAACGCATCACCCTATTATCATTGAACATGGGATATGCAAAACGAATTTTGAACCTTACTCTGCTTGAAGTAATCTGACTTTGATAGATAAACGTGATGCACGCTGAGTAGGATGTGCATCCCTGTGTGATCACATGGCCCACCATTTGCAACAAATCACCTTTTGTTCTTGCAAATCTCGTGAAAATGAAGAAAACGAGACGGTTTCACAACATATTAACAGATCATTCAAAATCACACATTTTACTATCTGTAACACTATTTCGATTTGCGTAGCGATCCTTTGTTTACATAGGTTATGAGGCACGTGACATGCAAATTAGCCTGTGGCAGTGGTGTTATGCTAAGTCATCACTGCGCCGGAGTGTGTCTACTGGCATGTTTTACATTGATGCTACATGCTGAAAACTATTTATGCGTATAGCGAACCTCTGTTAGCTATGATCTGAAGTACATTTCACCACAGTTGGGTTGTTGCCACACTTTCCACCCGTTCCACAGCCCTCAGCATACAGTATTGCGGTTGGGACTTACGGCTTTCTTCTTTTCAGCATTTTGTGTTCCTGTGTACACATCCACCCTTTGATATTATATGGTCGATTCCAACGAAAAGTGTACACAGCTGGGTACAAGGTGTCCAAAATAGAATTGCTTGCATCTCGTAATTCTTTTTACCAATGTAAAGTCAACATATTTGCCTCTTATGAAAATCAGTTGCCATCACTAATCTCTAAAAGTGACAAGTTGGTGGATCAGTGAAGTTGAAGGCTCATTTTCTGAATTACCTACAAATACCAACATCATACCTGGTATATCCTGTGACTAGATGGATTGTATGTTGCCTAACATCCAACTTCACTGTTGCTCTGCATGCACAATATGTTAATGACTACAGAAACCCTGAAGCCATATCTGGTTTCTTTCATGTTTTATAACCTCAAGCTTTACGAAAATAGAACCATTTTGGTACCTTTGTTTGATGCTAGTGAGATAGCACCACTTATAGTTTGGCATGAAATGCATGTGGACCCGTTTTTTAGTAAATATCTCTTCATCCAATGACCCAATCGATCTCAAACTGTGCAGGTGGATGTTTTGTCAGACAACCTAATCACATTGTAAATCACCGATTTAATGCATTTGTATTAAAGGATCTGTCTATGTAACTGTCAACAAAATAAACAGCAGACCGCAGGCTGGAGGGAAGGAGCCAATGACCTGTAACAGCGGCAGTGTTGGGTCATAAAGGTCAACGTTCGTCAATGTAGGTCAGCTATGTACGTTTCATGTAATCCGACACCTTATAAATCGGTTTGCTACGTTTGCTCTCTTTTTAAAAAAAATTCAACACATTTCTAATTAAACGTTTAGCATCATCTGAATAAGCTTTCATGATGACAGCTAGAAGTAGTCAATGTGAATGATCCAAACGGTCTATCACTGTGCAGTGCACAGGTAACTATCATGAACTGCACGTGCATTTACCTTTATGACCCAACACGGCCGCTGTAAAAAGGTCATTGGCGCCCTCCCTCTGCAAGCAGTCTGCGGTCTGCTGTTTATTTTGTTGACAGTGTATGTCGGAAAGTAGCAATGTCATTTTAACTGATGGAAATATACTTCTCATCAAAAGTTTCGACTCACTAGAAACACTCACTATATGTTATGTGTGTGTGTGTGTGCGCGCGCGTGCCTGCGTGCGTGCGTGCGTGTGTGTGTGTGTGTGTATGTAGTTACATCGAAGATTGATTTCTCCACTAACTTTGGAGGACCAACTGCAAACCTTATGCAGATGAACTGCACGAGGAACATGCATCAAATTGCTGAAAAGCATGTGCAAATATCGTACATGTGAACAGCTGCGTTTTGGTGTAAAGTTTTGTTCAAAATTCGCCAATTTTCACTGATTTTTATCATTTATTGAACTCATGACAATAATCTTTACGAATATGTTTTACAATACATCAGTTCGTGTGTAAACAGTACCTTTAAACAGTGTGGAATATTTTGCAAAATGTAGTTTAGAACAGTTGTCTGAAGTAAGTAGCTATATTTACACTAGCGAGTCTAAACTGTTGATGGGAAGTATAGAAATTGAACTAAAATCATTACATCTGAAATTTAATTTGCCAAATGTTTCAACTGACATTTGTATTCAAAGAAAGCACATCACAAATGTTTGAACTATTACCATATACCATATATAATTATGCACAGATAAACATGTCACTAAAACAATCAATACATTATACGTCCTACTGAACTATAACTCTGCTTTAATGACCCATATTTTGCAATGACAATTGCTATTAGATAGACATTTACTGAATGTTTTAACTACAAAAACGAGTTACCTACGAATAAGACATACCTTTGACAAATCTAATTACTAAACCCATGCAACCCATGTTCATTGGACACGGAAAACATTTTGTAGGTGTGTTTTAGATTAATGATACAGGTGATTAAAGGGAGGATATGTGTTTGTTGCGCACTTGTAAATTCATCCTTTATTAGTATATATGGCCATGAGGCCAACAATACAACACGTGTAAAACAGTAATGTTTTGTGCACTTGTAAATGTTCAACTGAAAGGGACTTGTTGTGGAAATATTGTTGAGTGGGTGATACTGTGTCATGTAGACTGTGTACATTATCAGAATCATCTAAACAGTTATGGCCTGTCTCTTCTGGTAATTATGACCAGTCGAACGTTGAAAAGACTGGTATATATACTGGTAGATCCAAATCATTCTGCTGATATCTGACGTCGAGCTTTCGAATCTGAAGGCATTTCATGCAATTGTGTGTTACAATGACACCACCATGCAATTTGAAAAAAAACCCACCTCGATTGTAATTGGTCAGTCAATGGTTTGAAACCACAATCATCATCAATGACTGAAACATATACTGCCATGATCGTGTCTCCGCGGAAGCTAACATAATCAGTGTAGGTATTTTGAAATAATACTATGATCTTTACATATATCTAGTTAGGTCATGATCATCAGTGTCTGCCACGGCATCCGTCTGGGACATCAGTCCAATGCTTGTGTTCCCTGACTGTCCATCTGCCTGTTCCTTACAGCGATCCTCCACAATCAGGGGACTCCATTCTGATGTCGGTTTGCTGGCGAGGCGCATGCGCTGTAAAATACATCTCTTTTGATAATCCACTTTGATAGCTTCCCAAAGAGTCACACTTAGCAAGTTTCAATATTCTTTCTTTTGATTACAATTTGTGACTAAGGTGTGAGCATAACAATGTGTAGAATGCTGCGTGAAATTATTCCAAATGGTGTTCTCTCATATCGAATCTGAAACATAAGATCGTAAGTGTGGAATGTAATAATGTTTGCATTTAGCATGCAAGAAAAGCAAAATTTAACGTAGTAGTTACACATAATCCAGGGGTAGATAGGACGGGCAGTGAACCTCATCCCCTAAAAAAATACAATAAAAGTGATTACCACAAGCAGTTTTCTAAAGATGAAACTGACGGTAGAGTTTACCATACCTGTCGTAAACCTCCCTTCCGTTTGAGTGTCTGGTAGATGAACATGAGCGGGATTGGCACAGAAATCCCCACTGCCAGTAGAATTCCTATTATTTTAGCATATTCCGGGTACATGTATTCCCCATAGCTGGGTGGATCATACTTAAACAGGGACAGGATGAGGGCAGCCTGCCAACACGGATATAGAGATATTCACAGCGACGATGTAAACAGTTTGAACAATTAATCAGGTATAGAACGTTAGTGCCACAGAGACGGAACAACTGATGGTTCACCTGCGATCGAGTAGAACAACCTGTTTTACCATTTTTAATCTAATCAGATTCACGAAAATGATTTTGATTAATATAAACAATGAAATAAAACATACTGACATCATTTGGAAGATGGTAGGCGTCAATCAGTTGCTCAGTCTTCATGGAACCATCATGTGTGTGCAAAAACATATCAAGCCACAGAATACTTTTACAGGTTGCTACAGGAATGACTGGTATTTTAATTTATACTGTATAAATAATCAAATTTCATATATTTGCATTACCCCTATTTCGCCAAACGAAAGTCCCAGATGTGATTCATTCTATGACTTGTACAAGGTTTTAAAAGAGATGTGTTGGACAAAGCAAAACGTTGCTAGTGACGTTGTTACATGTGCAAGTTTCGTAAGAATCTTAAGCATGGCACTGGCATAGTCAACCACTGGCCAAAATCACTGCAGGACAGCATCTGCTCATGTATGCTCATGTATGCTCATGTATGTTCATGTAAGAACACTTCACATGACATCTGATGAACTGGCAGTCCATCCTTCCCTTAGAAGATAGAGCTGATGGTTCTCCAGATGTTCCAGACATATTGTATATTGTCTGGAAATTGGGTTTATGTACTCTAAATCCGCTGAAGCTTCTTAGTGCACTTATGTAGTACCACTGTTACTTTAGTTGCATATGATATTTTAGCAATCTTAACAAACAAACAGTACATACACAGAGAATGACGGGCGTAACATAAGACGACACAAGTCTCAGGACAAGTGGAGGACGACGACCCGTCATCCTTTCAACATCTTTGCTGAACTTATCAGAGCCTGTAAAAAGAAACAGTCTACTGTATACATGTAACTTTAAGGCCTTTCTCTGTTGACTTACATTTTCTACTTGTTCGAATGTTATTTCTCACAGAAAACATCACTAGAGCATGAAATACCATTCTTGACACTATGGGACAGTAAAACTATTCTCAGGCGTTGATGCATAATATACTGAACAGCAAATGAAACACAAGTGTAGCTTATTGTTGAACACATTTTAGAATATCAAACTTTCAAAACAGAAATGAGCAAGATTTGAAAACATTGCAGAACCCTATAGAGCCACCTCCTTTGTACTATTTTCACTGTCAATGTAAATAAAAATAGAAGCATGTCCATTGTTTGTGGCTTGCGATCCAGCATGGCCAATATGCTCTGGTATCACCCAAAACAATTTATCACGATTTGGGAGCAGCACTGATCAAGTGATGGTCCCCTTCTGTTTGCCTAGTATTTACTTCACGGGAATGTCAGCAGCATGTGCGGCAGGCCCAGCAGTATCAACTCAGGGAGGTTAGGCTGCACCACTTGTACATCTGCCCGGGGAGGTCATCGCGTTACTGACGCTGCACGAGCCATTGTGAAATTGATCTGGTGAATATGGGATATCCAGTGAACATTTACACTCTTCAAAAAAAGAGACGCACAGGCGTTTTCAGCAGTTCATTTCGTTATAGTTTGACAGCAATCGTCATTAATACAATTCCTATGTTTGATTCCCGTTAATCGTGTCGTTGTTGCTGTGTATATAAACAATAGCGTGTCGGAAACATGAGTAGAGACATCGACTATAAAAGACCAAATCAAATTCATCATTTCATTACGAAATGTACGACGTACTACTGCTACTGACAGAAATGTCGCCAGTGGACGTTTGGAAGCAGGAGAGTCAGTTGCAAGACATTTCAACGTCCACCACAACACGGTCAACACAATATCTCGATTATGGCATCGATATACCCGCTTGAATTTTATGCCGACAACGACCTGTGTACAAATTGTGCAACGGAGTACAGGCGTGGAAACTGGGGTACTGGCGACGGGTTTGGTTCAGCTATGAATCGCGTTTCCTCCTGCAAAGACGAGATGCATGGGAGTTAACTGCGCCGAACTGCGTTCAACAGGTAGACAGATTTTGTCATGTGGTCATGGTGTGGGGAGCCATGTCATACACGGGTAGATCAGAGCTAGTGGTGGGTCAAGGCAATGTTACAGCAAATCGCTACATCGACCAAATCCTGCGACCTCACCTCCTCCCACTTGTTACCCGCCAGAGGGAGCTGCTTCAACACGACAACGCTCGAAACCACACAGCTCGTGTTACAAGTGCCTGTCTCGCCAATGCAAACGTGAACGTGCTTCCCTGGCCTTCCAAATCGCTTAATCTGAACCCGATCGAGCATCTGTGGGACAAACTTGATCGACGCGTCCGTAAACGTCACCATCGTCCTCAGACACTTGCAGAACTTGCCAACGCGTTGCAGGAGGAATGGCGAAGAATTCCCCAAACAAAAATCCGACAACTTGTGCAAGGCTGCAAGGGGTGGTGTCACCAGGTACTGACCTGAACGCCCCCTTGTGTCCATACATGTGCAGTGAGTGAACTGAATTAAGCTGACAATGACAACAAGACATATGTTCATCCGTGTGTCGAATTTCCTTCATCTCTGTTCAAGTTTAATCGACTTCTGTACACTGAAATACGTTTAATACATTTCTTCATTTCTGGCTAGTGCGTCTTTTTTTTTTGTCTTTTTTTTAAAGAATATTTATTACAGTGAAATATAAGCCCTCAAAGTATGACCTGACAGACAAATGAATTCAAATGTATGGATTATTTATGCCTTACGTTAAGTATTGCAAAATGAATCTCAAAGATTGCGTTTCTTTTGTTGTTAATTACATTTGCATAATAATTGGCTTGATACGTTTTTGGGGAATCAAGTTAGGAGCTAGGTTTAACGCTGAATTAACAGAGAGAATGTCGTTGCTGTATAGAGTCACTTACCATAGATCCAGTAGATGACCACACATTCGAGGACGCCAATCACAAGAGAGTTAAAGGAACCGGAGTACCAGTCCAGCAGCTGGACGAAGTACACTCCGCTCTGAACGGTACAAGTCGTCATGTCACTAAGGGGATAACTATTTAAATCTAAGGGCTTATGTTGAACTAGGCAGCCGATATTCAGTTAAACATTGTCTTCTTATTGTAGTGATGTTTATGTCAAGACTGTAATTATCGGATACGTAATAGTAATTGAACTGATACACATGACACGTTGTATCAAAACAGTAGATGGCAGCGATAGCAGCGCAAAGGTTTGGGTTTTTTGTTTGACTTTCCTAGCCAGACATTGCTTCCAATATTGTTTCATTAGACACAAACATTCCTACTTTCAGGGACACTTACCCCAGTTACCAAGGGAACAGTGAGCAGAAAGCAGACCAGGCAAACACCCAGGGTGACTACCACGCGCTTTTGTTGATTAGTCGAAGGAAATGCTTCTAAAATAGCCGAGATTAAAGTTTCTTCGAAACTAAACTGTAAGAAAATATATTAAGTTTATGATACTGCATTTAGACAACAAAATCAGGAGCATGTAAAACATATCATGATAGGTATATATTTATCCCACTTTTAACTATTAAAATTTGATACAGAATAAAACAATTAACCTGCGATTCCATTTGTCACTGAAATATTATAGTTCGTCACATGAAGAAATGGGGAAAACAATCGTATGGGGAGAGGAAAACGCCTTCAAGCAAGTTGACGTTGTCAAAATGTTTCACAATGAACGTAATGAAACTTCTCATAGCTATAACCAAATAATAGCATTGGTTACTGCTGTAAGTGTGCAGGAAACCTAGTAAAATGGTATGTGGCAATGCATTTTGCGATCAAATTCTACCTTTCCCCTTCTTCTACTCACCATAGAGTCTATGCCAACGATGAGCAGCGTTGAGAAGAAGAGGACTGCCCAGAGTTGAGGAAAGGGCAGCTTGGCTATAGCCTCAGGGTAGATGATGAAGCCAAGTCCTATCCCTGGTAAGGTACACACACACTTGTTAATCATCCATCATGTTTATCTATCTACAATTGTGGTGTTCGTCCACCTGCTGCTAAACAACATAGGAAGACACGTAGTTAAGTTGTTGATGCTGATATAGATGATCAGTTACAACTGATTACAACCCTCTTACTTGCTCCCAATCAACCACCCTTGTTAAAACCTCCCTTACAGTTTATTCAATTTATGAAGTTTTGAGGTCGAGATTTTAATTACGCTGTACCATTATCAGCTATTCATTGGTCAGGAAATTAAACGGTTACCGTAAATCTATGTTTAGCACACACAGATTCCATCATCAGACATGTCCTCAGTGCTGCAAGTGGAGATGATGATACAGAGAGATGATACAGGGGTACGAACCTGAGGTTACTACGTCAGATATTGGTAGCTGAGCCTCACTTGCCATGAAACCTAGAGTAGAGAACACCACCAGCCCACAGAAGATACTGCTCAGCTCACCGATGATGAGTATAATCATCGTGTCCCTTAAAGATAACAAGCCATGTATGAGTTGATCTGTTATACCAGGTCTTGTGTTTTTGTTTATTTAATGTCAGGTAGAAGGGTTGTGTCCTACTGATGACAAATCAAATGAAGCATCTCACTGATATGTATAATGCATTATGTATAATCCTCTAATGTATTATGTATAATCCTCTAATGTATTATGTATTATCCTCTAATGTATATTGTATTATCCTCTAATGTATTATGTATAATCCTCTAATGTATTATGTATAATCCTCTAATGTATTATGTATAATCCTCTAATGTATTATGTATTATCCTCTAATGTATTATGTATTATCCTCTAATGTACTATGTATAATCCTCTAATGTATTATGTATAATCCTCTAATGTATTATGTATTATCCTCTAATGTATTATGTATTATCCTCTAATGTACTATGTATAATCCTCTAATGTATTATGTATTATCCTCTAATGTATTATGTATAATCCTCTAATGTATTATGTATAATCCTCTAATGTATTATGTATTATCCTCTAATGTATATTGTATTATCCTCTAATGTATTATGTATAATCCTCTAATGTATTATGTATAATCCTCTAATGTATTATGTATAATCCTCTAATGTATTATGTATTATCCTCTAATGTATTATGTATTATCCTCTAATGTACTATGTATAATCCTCTAATGTATTATGTATTATCCTCTAATGTATTATGTTTTATCCTCTAATGTATTATGTATAATCCTCTAATGTATTATGTATAATCCTCTAATGTATTATGTATTATCCTCTAATGTATTATGTATTATCCTCTAATGTATTGTGTATTATCCTCTAATGTATTATGTATAATCCTCTAATGTATTATCCTCTAATGTATTATGTATAATCCTCTAATGTATTATGTATTATCCTCTAATGTATTATGTATAATCCTCTAATGTATTATGTCTAATCCTCTAATGTATTATGTATTATCCTCTAATGTATTATGTATAATCCTCTAATGTATTATGTATAATCCTCTAATGTATTATGTATAATCCTCTAATGTATTATGTATAATCCTCTAACGTATTATGTATAATCCTCTAATGTATTATGTATTATCCTCTAATGTATTATGTATAATCCTCTAATGTATTATGTATAATCCTCTAATGTATTATGTATTATCCTCTAATGTATTATGTATAATCCTCTAATGTATTATGTATTATCCTCTAATGTATTATGTATAATCCTCTAATGTATTATGTATAATCCTCTAATGTATACTACCCATCAAAAGTTTAGACTCACTAGTGTAAATGTAGCCACTAACTTCAGTCAACTGTTCTAAACTAGATTTTGCAAAATATTCCATATTGTTTGAAGGTGCTGTTTACACATGAACTGATGTATTGTACAACAAATTCGAAACGTCGAAAAGATTATTGTTATGAGTTCAAAAAATGATGAAAATTGGCCAATTCTTAACATCACTTTACACCAAAACGCAGCTGCTCACATGGACGATATTTGCACATGCTTTTCAGCAATTTGATGCAAGATCCTCTTGCAATTCATCTGCATAAGGTTTTCAGTTGGTTCCCCCAAGTTAGTGGTGAATTTCATCTTCGATGTAACCATATATATAAGCCTAAACCTTTGATAGGTAGTATATGTCATAGGCATTCTCGATAATCTCCAGGGTATACGTTCTGATAAGTGGAAATTTATCGGAACGAAAACCCTGGAGATTATCGAGGATAATGTCATAGGCTAAAATTTGTTTTTGTCACTAACTTTTCACCATACTTTCCAGCATACTCTCTTATGTTGGCGTAAACAGTCCACCTTACTTGTGGTCTGACAGGTACATCGTGAGCTTTGGCACATGCAGTCTCGAAGGTTGGCCATATGACTGTCCTCTATAAGACCTGCACGTGCCGGGGCCCAAAACCACATGTATGTTGAATAAATGCTGCGTTATATGGTAAATAGGAAAGTATTATTTTTATTTCATTGTGCAATAGGTATTTTTCTCACAAGAATGGATTATTTCATGTGTAATTGTCCAGAATGTATGTTAGTAACGTCTACTTTATACGTGGTTAAAAGAAACCTGCATGGTCTGTGTGACGACACACCACGTCCTACAACTATAACATATTATCATAATCCACAAGTTCTTTGGGAAAATAAATACATCAGTCAGTTAACCTCATTGAGAGGCATTTATAAGCTGGATCGATAAGTGTGGTGTGGTGTGTGTGATAATATATGGATGACCGACTTCTATATTACAGAGAGAACAACTGCAATAAAGACGTTGTTCATCCATATAATGGATGGAAGGATAACATTATATGGAGGTTCTTCAGCCATAAATTGGATGGAAGAATGACAATATATGGAGGTTGTTCAGCCATAAAATGGATGGAAGAATGACAATTTATGGAGGTTGTTCAGCCATATAATGGATGGAAGAATGACAATTTATGGAGGTTGTTCAGCCATTTAATGGATGGAAGAATGACAATATATGGAGGTTGTTCAGCCATAAAATGGATGGAAGGATGACAATATATGGAGGTTGTTCAGCCATAAAATGGATGGAAGGATGACAATATATGGAGGTTGTTCAGCCATATAACGGATGGAAGGATGACAATAACTAGAGCTCGTTCGGCCATATAATGGATGGAAGGATGACAATAACTAGAGGTTGTTCAGCCATATAATGGATGGAAGGATGACAATAACTAGAGGTTGTTCGGTCATATAATGGATGGAAGGATGACAATATATGGAGGTTGTTCAGTCATATAATGGATGGAAGGATGACAATATATGGAGGTTGTTCAGCCATATAACGAATGGAAGGATGACAATATATGGAGGTTGTTCATCCATATAATGGATGGAAGGATGACAATATATGTAAGTTGTTCGGCCATAAAATGGATGGAAGGATGACAATATATGGAGGTTGTTCGGCCATATAATGGATGGAAGGATGACAATATATGGAGGTTGTTCATCTATATAATGGATGGAAGAATGACAATATATGGAGAATGTTCAGCCATATAATGGATGGAAGGATGACAATATATGGAGGTTGTTAAGCCATATAATGGATGGAAGGATGACAATATATGGAGGTTGTTCAGCCATATAATGGATGGAAGGATGACAATATATGGAGGTTGTTCAGCCATATAATGGATGGAAGGATGACAATATATGGAGGTTGTTCAGCAATATAATGGATGGAAGGATGACAATATATGGAGGTTGTTCAGCCATATAATGGATGGAAGGATGACAATATATGGAGGTTGTTCAGCCATATAATGGATGGAAGGATGACAATATATGGAGGTTGTTCATCCATATAATGGATGGAAGGATGACAATATATGGAGGTTGTTCAGCCATATAATGGATGGAAGGATGACAATATATGGAGGTTGTTCAGCCACATAATAGATGGAAGGATGACAATATATGGAAGTTGTTCAGCCACATAATACATGGAAGGATGACAATATATGGAAGTTGTTCAGCCATATAATGGATGGAAGGATGACAATATATGGAAGTTGTTCAGCCACATAATAGATGGAAGGATGACAATATATGGAGGTTGTTCAGCCACATAATAGATGGAAGGATGACAATATATGGAAGTTGTTCAGCCATATAATGGATGGAAGGATGACAATATATGGAGGTTGTTCATCCATATAATGGATGGAAGGATGACAATATATGGAAGTTGTTCAGCCACATAATAGATGGAAGGATGACAATATATGCAGGTTGTTCATCTATATAATGGATGGAAGGATGACAATATATGGAGGTTGTTCAGCCATATAACGGATGGAAGGATGACAATATATGGAGGTTGTTCAGCCATATAATGGATGGAAGGATGACAATATATGGAGGTTGTTCAGCCATATAACGGATGGAAGATGACAATAACTAAAGGTTGTTCAGCCATATAATGGATGGAAGGATGACAATATATGGAGGTTGTTCAGCCATATAATAGATGGAAGGATGACAATATATGGAGGTTGTTCAGCCATATAATGGATGGAAGGATGACAATATATGGAGGTTGTTCAGCAATATAATGGATGGAAGGATGACAATATATGGAGGTTGTTCAGCCATATAATGGATGGAAGGATGACAATATATGGAGGTTGTTCAGCCATATAAAGGATGGAAGGATGACAATATATGGAGGTTGTTCATCCATATAATGGATGGAAGGATGACAATATATGGAAGTTGTTCAGCCATATAATGGATGGAAGGATGACAATATATGGAGTTTGTTCAGCCATATAATGGATAGAAGGATGACAATATATGGAACTTGTTCAGCCATATAACGGATGGAAGGATGAAAATATATGGAGGTTGTCCAGCAATATAATGGATGGAAGGATGACAATATATGGAGGTTGTTCAGCCATATAACGGATGGTAGGATGACAATAACTAGAGGTTGTTCAGCCATATAATGGATGGAAGGATGACAATATATGGAGGTTGTTCTGCCATATAATGGATGGAAGGATGACAATATATGGAGGATGTTCAGCCATATAATGGATGGAAGGATGACAATAACCACAGGTTGTTCGGCCATATAATGGATGGAAGGATGACAATATATGGAGGTTGTTCAGCCATATAACGGATGGAAGGATGACAATAACTAGAGGTTGTTCAGCCATATAATGGATGGAAGGATGACAATAGCCAGAGGTTGTTCAGCAAAATAATATATGGAAGGATGACAATAACTAGAGGTTGTTCGGTCATATAATGGATGGAAGGATGACAATATATGGAGGTTGTTCGGACATATAATGGATGAAAGGATGACAATATATGGAGGTTGTTCAGCCATATAATGGATGGAAGGATGACAATATATGGAGGTTGTTCAGCCATATAACGGATGGAAGGATGACAATATATGGAGGTTGTT